TTGATTTTATATGAGTCTAGCTAAATTATTTTTATGCATAAAATAGTTAAATTAGTTTGAAATAATTGAATTGAACTAATTTTATCTAATTCAATTCTGCATTCTTTCGTTTATGAGTTCAGTTGCCATTTAAAACAATTTGATTCAGTCAAACTGAATGATGCCCTAAATAACTACATATTTAATAGCAAAATTTAATTCTATTTTCAAAATGAAAGTTTAAATCTTGATCCTTAGAGTTATCATTTTAAATCAAGAAATTTTTTTTTATCCACGTTATCAATTCTATCTACATAGTATTGTAGCTATTAATTATAATTATAATGATTTTTCTATTTATATATTATCATAATTATACTAATTTAATAATTATAAATGTTCTAATTATTACTAGTATTTAGAATATTATATTATAACTAGGTGAAGGCCTGCACATTGCGCGAGTTACTTTATTATTATTTTTTAAAGGATTATTTTATTAGTATATCTTGCATTTATTAATAAGTTAACAAAAATAAAAAAAAATTCTTAATTAGTGTGCCAATAAATTTATCTTTATAGGTGTGAACCAATAAATATAGTCATCCATATAAAGTTTTAAAAATGAAAAACTAATTTAAAAGTCTTGTTTAATAGTTTCTTCTAAAAATATAAAATCTAGAATATATATAACATGGAACAATCACTATATTTTGCATTCATGATCACTTCATTCATCACTTTGAGAAATTCTGCCAATCCCGCAAAGTTAAGTTTATACATCAATAAAATCAATAAAATTAAATCGTTTAACGTCACCACAATCATAAGAAATAATATTGTAAATGCATAAGTTTATATTAGTATCAATCTAGCACATATAAAATCTTTCTTTTCTACTTGAACTTATACTGAAAAATAGAAAGAGTTCATAGTAACATAAATTTTTGAGTATTATGATTGATAAAGGCAACAAAGAAAACTAAAAAAAATAAATTGATGGGTGCATGTGATTCTAAACAAATTGATGCTCAAACAATGGTACAAATCAAGATTTAAAAAAGAGAAGAATCGCAGCTTCAAATTCAAGTGGAACAATTTTAAACATATGCATCTAAATCATGCACATTTTTTATTAAATATTATTGGCGGGTAGGATCGATGACAGAAGCAAAAAGCTCTTCTTGGAAATGCTATCGAGTCTGAGGAGTGTAATGATTGATGCTTACTTGCGAGAAGATAATTGGACTATGATATACTAACTGATGCGCTATACTAAAGAAAGATTGATGCTTACTTGCGAGAAGATAATTGGACTATGATATACTAACTGATGCGCTATACTAAAGAAAGAAAAGAAAAAAAAATTCAACATATGACAAACTAACTAACAAAAGAAAGTAAAATAGTAACCATATATTTTATGCAAAAAGAATCATCTTGTTCATTTAAGCCACTGGCTATGATCATATATAGATACATGTATAGTTATAAAATTAAAAATTTTCAAAAGCTAAATTATCTTCAAAAATTTTAAATTTTGAAAAAATGAAAATCAATATCGAATAAAATAGGATAGTTGTTAAATTAGATTAGATTTCAAAATATATTGCTATTATCTAAATATTAGTTTTAAAATTAAAAAAATATATAACCATCCAATCGAAATATAGAAAAATAAATATTAGAAACAAAATATATTGCTATTATCTAAATATTAGTTTTAAAATTAAAAAAATATATAACCATCCAATCGAAATATAGAAAAATAAAGAAAAAAATCTAAAAATTGCAATTAAAATTTTTCAAGATTTAAAAAAATGAAAATCAAATACCGAATAAAATATAATAGTTGTTAAATTATATTAGATTTCAAAATATATTGCTATTATCTAAATATTATTAATTTTAAAGTAAAAAATATAACCATACAATCAAAACATAGAAAATAAAGAAAAAATTCAAAAATTTCTAAAAAAAATAGAATACTCAAATAATAGAATGTCAACTCATATCATTTTGTTTCAGGATTATATATATATATTTTTTAAAATTATAAAAATATTTTATAATGTTATAATCATATGCAATTGTAATCTTTATAGTATTATAAGCATAGCTTGATTATTAATCTCATGCCTATGTTTTCTTAAATAAAGATAATAATGTGAATCATGTGTGGTCTGATTGGTTTTCCTACCTCTTGTAGGAGATGTAGGGAATGAGAAGTTTCAAGTTCGAGTCCTCTTCATGATAAAAAGTTATCACCAATTTGGTGAATATCATTCAAAGGACAGGGCAGCCCAATGTATAAAAATAATAAAAATAGGAAGAAGAAGAAAAAATTAAGAAATAGCTAATCTTACCAATCAAGTGTGGTTGTGTGTAGCTAAAAAAACAAACTCATATAGTTTTGACATACCTAAACTTGTGTCATTTTTATGTAGGTTAGAATGCTGTTAAAAAAAAAAAAACAAAAAAAAAAGAGCTCATAAGACGTAATTCTTTATGCAGGTTTGGGACACGACTACCTGATATTCACCTCATTGCCCATATGATTTAAAGGAAAATTTTTATGATAATCAGCAATATCAAACCCATGACCTCTATATATCAATTAAGTTACCTTACCACCAAACTATTTAACAGTCATATGTAAAAAATACCAAAAATACATATATTGGTAACTATAGTGATTTATACTTTACACATTTATTAATGAATGCAATATTATTGGATAATATATTTTATTTACAAGTAAATTTTAATAAAATTATGTACATTAAATTATAATATCTAAATAAATTGAATTTATTTTTTTTTCATAAAATTTATTAAATAAAATTATATATAATATTATTCATGTCTTGTCTTAGTAATTTAATTGAATTTCTTATTGTTTGGTAATTATGAAATTTATTAAAAATAAAAAAGTTATTAATTAAATAGAATGCTAATAATGTTATAATTAAAAATTTTTAAAACTATTTATCAACGTCATTAGTAAACTTCTAATGATAATTATAATTAGATCTTAATTCAAAATATGACTCATGTGCAATGTAAAATCTAGATATACTTTTAATAAATTACTCGTATAAAATATCACCAATGAAATTATAACCTACTAAGTATTTGTTTATACCTTCCCTTTGCTTTCGTTCTTGGCCATCGCCTCCGCAGCAGTCGTGTTCTTCAAGCGTAAAAGTGCCAGGTTCGTTCTTGGTTTTTTTTTTTTTTTTTCGTAAAAGTGGCCAGGTTCGTTCTTGGTTTTTTTTTTTTTTTTTTTATCTCATTCTCATTTTTTTTTTTTTCGTTTTGCTTCATCCCTTTTCCTTTTTCTTTCTTTTTTATTTTTTATTTTTTATAAACACATATAAACAGACAAAGAGGAGGAATTGTTGAATTAATTTATGGGTTCAGCCAAGATTATTTGCATATTGTTTTATTTTTTCGTTTATGGGTTTTGTGCATGCTTTATTTGTTGAAAATATATATATTAAAAGGCAAAAGGATGGTGAATATAAGCCAATTCATGGTTTGTTAAGTGCAATCTGATATGTTTGGTTTGTTAATTCAAAGTTTGGTTTGTTAATAATGATTAAGATTGTCTTGATTAAGGATTGGTTTGTTAATAATGATTAAGATTGTCTAGAAATACTGATAATGAGATTATTTGCATATAATTGTCATATACTGAGAATGGTTTGTTAATTTTTCTCCAGCTAAAGTTATTCAAAGTCTGGTTTTCAATAATAGAATTCCAAATTTAAAATTTGTTATTGTAAATGAGGTTAGCTACAAATATCAAACTTGATAAGCAAAACACGTTATAAGGAATCTGCTTTTTTTACTAACTGTGAAAGCAAAACACGTTAACAGGTTTAATTTGTTCTTGTTTTTTTCTTTTACCAGGAGATATTCATACAAATCTATCTAGAAATAAGCTTTTAAAAGCAATAACAAAAATTACATAGGGGATTATACACAAGGTTTAATATTTTGTATTTTGTATAGGGCTGATTTTTTTTAGTATTTTGTGATGTTATATAGGGCTGAATTTTTCTTTTTGAGAAGGATATAGGGCTGACTTGGATAGTTTAAACATGTAAGGGTTTTAATCATATTGCTAGACTTTGAATTTGCTAGCTTAATTTGCAAACTTGTTTATGATCCCTAAACTTGATTGCAGATTTGCTGTAGGTAATTTTAAATTAGCTAAGCCTAACTAACTAGTTGATTTGATATTCTAAATGCTAAGCCTAACTAACTAGTTGATTTGATATTCTAAATTGCCTTTTCTTTTAGTTTTAAATTACATTGTTGTTGGTTTTCTTTTTCTATTTAAATATGTTATATATTTTAAATATATTGTATCTAAATATAGATTTTATTTTGTAGGATATAATGTCCACATTTGAGAGTATAGATTGTGAAGATAGTAGCAAAAATGAGACAAATATGTCTATGCCTTCCGCAAATATTTGTTTGTTGTAGTGTTTTTTTGTTTTGATGTACTTTTTAATTCAGTAATTTTTTTTTTGACATACTTTTTATTATGTTTTATATTGATTTGGTTCTCCTTTTATGATAATTTGTTATAGTTTAGTATTATTATATTTTAATTAGTTTTTAGTTTGTGGTTGATATTATGGATATTGAATTTTAATAGATGTTTGATTATTGTTTAATTGAGAATTGAGATATTTGTTTGAATTTCAATTCTTTTGATCTATTTTAATATTGCTATGTACTGTTGATTGATTGAGAATATTACTGGTTAATTTGTTATACTATTTTGAATATTACAGAGTAAGTTGTTTTTCTATTTTGAAGTTGAATTTTAATGTAGTTTTATTTTATTTTATTTTTTTTTGCATTTTGGGTTCGGATATGGGTTTCATGCAGTTTCAGGTTTCATGGATCGAATAAATTTGTTATTAAACGGATATTTTAACGGATTCGGGTAATATGTGGGTATTTCTAAATGGACTTTGGACGGGTTTGAGTATTATTGATTTATTCCTCGACAGATTCGTTACGGATTTGGGGACTTAAATTAACAACGGATCCAGATTAGGGTAGTTTATTTTTTGCGGATATCCGCCCCGCTGCCAACTCTAGCCAAGAGGTCACACGGTTTCGCCGCTTTCTTCTTCTTTCCTTGTATTGAAAGACCGAATCTAACTCCACAAGCAGCCATCTCCACAAAAAGCTCGTTGAAGACGACGAGCTCTCTTTCTGGCAGTTGCAAGGGCAGGTAGTTTTGCTACTTGTTGAAGCTCTGTGAATATTTTTTTTTCCCCTTTTCTTTTCACTGTGAACGAATATGTGGTTTGATTTTGTGGGTGTAAATAGTTCTTGATATGATTGTTTGGTTTGATTTGTAGAATTTCTTAGGGAATTTAACTAATTTTGTAATAATAAACCTGAAACTGAATCACAAGTTCGAACAGAGATTTGTTTTGACATTGTTGCAAGAATTCCAGAAGCTAGGGATTAAAATAATGAAATCATTATTGTCAATTGTAGTTAACAATGAAATCATTATTGTCAATTGTAGTTAACCTTGTTTTTCCCTTTGTGTAAGTGACAAATGAGTGCATATCAAAACTAAAATTATTTTTGGTTTCTTTCCTAGCAGTAGGAAATATATGTTGTTTACTTAATTAATTAAATTGGTAGACTTAGTACCCCCATTGGAAAATTTCTAATGGTGCTTACCAGCTCATATATATATTTAAATTTCTCCAAGGATGCAGTGAATACTAGGATTAGAAGCAAAGGGAAGAGAGAATTATAGACATATAAAAACGATATAACTCAAAGAATGTTCTTGATAAGGCATGACACTGCTATTACGGCTTATTATTGAAAGAGGTAATAATTATAGATAAATTAGGTGCAAAGGGAAATTTATTGACCGATTCAATAATCATCTTAAACTAAACTGGAGGTTTCTCACTTTCTTTTTTCCTTATTTACTGCTTTAGCCTTTATGTTTTCAGATTATTCTATGTTCTTTACTTTGGTTGTAATGTCTATTTCTTGAGATGCTTCCTTCTTTTTTTTTTTTTTTTTTCTTATTTACTGCTTTAGCCTTTATGTTTTCAGATTATTCTATGTTCTTTACTTTGGTTGTAATGTCTATTTCTTGAGATGCTTCCTTCTTTTTTTTTTTTTTTTTTGGGAAAAAAAATGTATTTAATTTGTTAAATTGTGTTTCTGGGTTCTAAATCCTAAAGTGAAAATATATCTTTGTTGCTTACCCACTTATTTCGTTCTTTTTTATTGGGGTCACAATTCTAAACAGTCACTTTTGGACCGTGCCTAATAAGGGTTGGCAGTTTGCAGTCTTACTCGGGCATAAAAAAACAGTTGTTTTTTTTTTCTTTATAAGATTTTCAATGCATACTCAGGAATTCCTTGAGTGTGCAGTTCAAGATGATGTTGATTGTTGATGTGCCTTGCAAACTTGGATCTTGGGAAATTAGAGTCTAAACTCCAAACATTATGTTTATGTGAAGAATCAATTTTCCTCCCTTAATTCCTTGTGTTCTATATCATTATTTTTGTGCTTTTTCAATGGATTTTGGTTGTAATTTTTTTTATTGAGATATTTGTTTGTTTCTATGTTGTATGGATTTAGTTTGAATTTTATATAAACTTTTTTATATGGGTTCAGGTCCCAGTTTTTGTGTTTTGTATGGATTTTGTTTGTTTTGTGTTAAACGGGTAATATGGGTTTGGTAGTATATGGGTGTTGTATTGGTAATCTGATCCTGGAGGGGTTCAGGTAAAGCAACTATATATAGTTATAAATGGGTTCAGGTACCTTATTTCATAAATGGGTTTAGATTCAAGGTAGGCAGTTTTAATGGACACCTGACCCACTACCAACCCTAGTTCTATTGAGTACTGAGTTTGGAGCAAACTAATCTAATTTGTATGCCTTTCGTAGTTTGCAAATCGGAAAACCCTAAACCCTCTCTGATATTTTCTATTGCTTATGTCAACTCTATTTCCAGTAAGCGTCTCTTTTTAACAATAACAAACTGCATTAAATCTCTTTGAATGATTTGATACTAAGCAAATTTTGATCTCTTAATTCATTTGAACATCACAGATTAGTTCATTTGCTTGAAAATGCCTTTGGGACTAATACAAGGACTAGCCAGGGCAATGCGGAGAAAGCGAACTTCATCTTTGGATATTCTCTCATCAAAACGTGCTCCTCGCAATTATTACAAAGGGAAGAATTGCAAGCCCACCGGTTTTCACACTCGGAAAGGTTTCAATATTTTTTGTTTTTTTAATTCCATATGATAGATACCTTTAATACTCGCTTTTCGATTGTAAAGAGTTTGTCTTTACTTTAATTTGCCTTTTCTATACTTTTCTTAGAATTAGCTATTTGGGTAAGTATTTGAATTACATTAAAATTTAGTATAGATGAATCTAATCATGAATTCTGTTAATTACAAAGGTGGTTGTCATTTTGGTTGGTTTTAAAGATGTCATTACTAGTGTGTCTACCTACATGCCTGTTTGGAGCATTCTGTAACTCAACATTTACTTTATCCTAGATGAGTATTAGGTTAGTTATTCTACACCCCAAATCGAAATCGGCTGAGTCATAAGCCGTAATGTCGGAATTATGTGGAAAAGCCTTATTTGAATGTGAATTTGAATACCCAATGAAAATCAAACTATTTAGTTTGGGATCAAATCCAAAATCAATCATAACTTATTGCATCCAAACAAAGCACTAATGTTGTGTTTGGATTCATGTATTTGATTTGAAATCTAGGACTTTGAAGTGTAGAGAAGATGATAAATGACACATATTTTTAAGTGATTTGAAATCCATTATATTTAAGCCTTTAAACTCGGCAGGTATTCATTCAATTCCAAATCCATAAATATTTTGACAATCCAAATAATGGATTTTAATCAAATTCAAATACCCACCTTACTTGAATCTATTTGGTATTTTAAAGAACTTGGGATTCATATCAAATGAAATGAAGCATAACTTGCTGGCTGTTGTGTTATTCATTCTCAAATGCTATTGCTATTTGTTGCAGGTGGTTATGTTATTGTTCTGGAGAAATTGCCCAACTATGTAATCCCTGATTTGACCGACTTCAAGGTATTCTTATTCCACCCCATCTCTTTTCTTTTTTCTAGAGGATGGATGTTTAGGATTTGCATAAGGTTCTAACTGAAATTTCTTAGATGGTGTCAATATAGTGTTGATGAAATTCATTTATTTAACGTGCCAATAAACATAGAAGACTTGCATCTGGCATTTGCTTACCTACTTCAGAACACCTGGACGGAGGGCATTATACAAATCACTGATTTTATGCACATCTAAAATGGGCACATTTCACCCCTTGAAACAATCTCTCTCATTTTAGTAGTGTATCAAATGTTTATGATAAGTTGTTTGCCTGTTCTTTGGTTTATGATTTGCTTCTTTTGCTTTCAGCTCAAGCCCTATGTGTCTCAGTGTGCAACGGAAGTTAAAACAACTGAAGCTTTTGAAGCTGCTAAATAAAGAAATGGAGCAAGAATAAGTGTTCAATCTTTCTCGATTGTTGAGCTGCCGCTGTGTTGCTCGTAACTGAAGTTGAGTGATTGTCGAGCTGCCGCTGTGTTGCTCTTAACTGAAGTTGAGCGATTCTGGCGTTGCCATTTTGAAGCAATGTGATATTTCAATGGAATTAGAGCTAGTTTGGTGATGTCTGTTTTGCTGCTTGCTGATAAATTTCTTAATACTGTTTCTGGAGAGTTGAATAAAGTAGTTTGGACTATTCAGTGGGGCTCATCTCACTTGTTTTTTTTTTTTTTTTTTTTAAGTAGTTTTGGACGATTCAGTGGGGCTCATCTCACTTGTTTTTTTTGTTTTTTTGTTCAACTTAAAAGGATTGTAATTGTATAAAGATTTAAAAAACCAATTTCAAAGAAGTTGCTGCGGGCCCTAGTTAAATTGTTTTTTTTTTTTTTTTTTTGTTCAACTTAAAAGGATGTAATTGTATAAGATTTAAAAAACAATTTCAAAAAGTTGTGGGGCCCCTAGTAATTGTGTAACTCCTCGTTTTTCTTGTGTTTCAATAGTAGTTTACCGCTCTGTGAATAGTACCACCGGTTCGGAAGTCGGTATTATTTTTTGTCCGGAAAAATTACTATTTATGTTTTATATTTTATTTATCATTTTTGGAGCATGTATACATGATTTTTATGGGTAGAAAGTAGTAAGAAATATTTTTGGAGAATTTAGATATTTAGTGAATAGTGAATTATGGTGTTATATTAAGTCACTTCTAATTCATAATATGCTTGTTTGATTTATATGTAGGTTAGGACGGTGCCTCCGGCACCGAATGTGGCATCCACCGTCGGGTCTTTAGGGATCGGGCGGCGGGTATTACAAATTGTCTTTGGATATGAAATGGTCTCAATCTCAACAGATGCTTGAAATGCTTTATTTGCCCTGATGACATTGTCTTTGGATATAAACTGGTCAAGCTTTCAGATAACCTTGTGTGAACATTTTGCATCGGACTCAATAACTTGGTTACGCGCAATATTTTTACGGTAATATGGACCACGAACTCCATTTTTCCACATCTGCGAGTGCTGAAAGGAGAATTTATCAATTTAACTTGGTAAGACTGATGATTAGTGAACAAGTTTTAGTTTCTACAAATCACTGCTCAGTTTTTGCACGATCTTCAATCGGTAGTATATTTCTTGTTTCATGTTTATTACAACTACTTCTTGTTTCATGTTTATTACCATTTTAGGTTTGTTCAGAGGTTCACGTATCCTTGACCTTTTGGTTGTAGAATTTTAAATTATCAGCAAAGCTATTCAGACTTTGTCTGGAGAAACTGGCTTGTCCATAATCCTTGTTAAATGAGTTAATAGCATCATTGATGAATTGCTCCTGATTGGTTGAGATTCTTGTTGTACCAAACTTTTTACTATCACAAGGTAGTAGATTTGTGTTATCTGCAATTTTTTGTCAGTTAATCGTGCCTTGATTTTGTATCAGCGTTTCACCTGCTGTCAAGAATCAATGCATATTATTTTAGTGAAATGATTAAAGATGAATGAATTCTAGTCAATTTAAGATTACAACCAAATGCCAAGGATAACCAAAAATCGCTACAACCTAGTAAGAAGGGATTTATGTCTCTCAGATCAAGATTTGTCTCTCCAGAGTACCAAAAGCAAACATAACATCGTTATGAACTTAAAGTTCCAAAGTATGGAATCCCAGAAAGAATCTAGCCTATGCTTGGTGATCAACATTGTTCTCGGAAAGAAATTTTAATCAAGGATATCTTATGAAGATAATTTTAGTCGAGAACTCCTCGAGCCGAATCTAGCAATGATCAACAATATCCAATAATATTTTCTTTATTCCAAAAAAAAAAATGAAAATAAAAAACATACAATCCATTTTCAAAGTGAAAAATTAAATATCGAGCCTTAATTAAAATTGATCGTTTTCATTTGTTTTTGTCCGCACTTTAGCTATCCGCTCAACTGCTCCACAATCATGGTTCAAAAACACGTACTGAAAGTGATCTTTTTATCATTTTTCTTTTTCCAGTGAAAAGACATTCCTAATCATATAGATGGTAGTACTGACTTTTTGAGATGTTAATCAAATGTTTTATTCAATTATTATATATATTTTTTACTAGCATATATGTCAGAATATCATTCGAATATGCTACTATAAAAAGTAAATCAAATATATCAATACTAAAATCCAGTGTTCGAGTGTTCTCTCTTTTCAAAATTTCACTTTCATGCATATAACATTTTTCCAATTTTCAATATGCTTTCCCACCTTTTACACATTTCTCCCTGGTCTATGCATTATTGGCATAAACACCAACTTTACCAAGCATTTTCTTTGTATAAGTCATACCCTATCTCCCTGAAGCACAATTCTAACACTCTGTGAGTTGGAATTTCCTTTTTTTTTCTTCTCTCTATTTTTTAACTGAAAAGTGAGAATTCCAGATATAAAAGCAAAAGAACTAAGCGCATAGCATATAAATGCTAAAACTTGAATAAATTCTTGTGAACCTTTAACACCAGCCGAAATGTCAATGAAACTTTGTTCTTTGTCCGATGAATGACCTTGTGATATATGCTTCCCACTATTTCGACACCTTTTGATGGCGTGGCGGAAAAGCTAAGGTTTTGATGGAGAAGGCTAAGATGACAAAGATAGATGATTGTTTTTGGAAACAAACAAAATCCAATAGTTTTTGAAAACTCATAAAACCCAAGATGATTGTTTTTGGAAACAAACAAAACCCAATAGTTTTTGGAAACTAATAAAACCAAAATGTGATTAACACCTTCTTGTTAGATGATTGTTTTTGGAAACAAACAAAACCCAAAGTTTTTGGAAATAAAAAAGCCAAATATGTGATTAAACACCTTCTTGTTCTTCAAAATTCTGTTTCTTTCAAAGTACCACAAGAAGCCCCTTTAAATAAGAAACAAGAGACAACAATGGCCATTCACACTAATAGATATTAAAACTAATTAAAAAAACAATAATGTGCCATGAACACCGAAACAACCATTTAAACTAAACATAAAGGCCATCACACCACAGCCATTAAACTAATTAAAGAACATAATTTTCAAAGGGCACCCAATCGTATGCGGCACAAAGTGGTAGGTTGTGGTAGGGTTGAAGACAGCTAATGCTAGTTATGGGCACAAATGGTGGGGTTGAAGACAGCTTTTGCTAAGTATGGGCACAAATGGTGGGGTTGAAGACAGCTAGTGCTAAGTATGGGCACAAATGGTGGGGTTTGAAGACAGCTAGTGCTAATTATGGGCACAACTGGTGGGGTTGAAGACAGCTTGTGCCAAGTATGGGCACAAATGGTGGGGTTTGAGCATAGCTAGACACAAATGGGCTGAAATTCATAGTCAATGATCAACCAAGTGGTTTTTGATTGTTGTCTTCAAAGATGATGGTTTGAAGGACCCCAAATGGCCCCAAAAGGAGCTGTAGCTTCAGGTTGAACATGTCACTCTCACTAAACCCATCACCCATCTTCACTGGAGGTCGTTCATCAACTTCACTAATGGAGTCAAAAGACCAAGGCCCATGGTCTAGGATAGCTTGTAAGGCTTAGGCTAGATGGACCTGATACATTCTCCCCTTTCTTGAAAAGTTTCCAACGTTTGGTCAGAAGTTTCATGGGTGTCTTCCTTGTTTTGGCTAAGTCACTATCATTGAAGGTGTTAGAAAGTCTTGTAAGTCGGGGTAGCTCTACTTTGTAAGGCAGTTTGCTGATTTACCATTCTTTATGATTGTAAGGCCTTCTTTATGATTTTGTAAGGACCCTCAGCCTTGGGCATAAGTTTATTCTTTCTTTTAGAAGGGAATCGTTCCTTCCTCAAGTGAATCCACACTAAGTAACCTTCTTGGAATTCTACAACAGGTTTCAGCTTGGCTTGCATCTTGTAGACTTCGTTCTTCTTCTCAATATGTGCTTTTGCCTTAATATGGAGTTTGACAATTTCAGTAACTCTGTCCTCGGCCTTTAGGTTAGAGGGAATACTAGAGTGTGCTTTGTTCAAATCAAGAGGAATAAGTGGATTAGTGTAACACCTGCTGCCCAGTCCCGAGAGACCCAACAGCGGATGCCACATTCGGTGCCGGAGGCACTGTCTTAAACTTAACATATAAATCATAAATTCAGATTATGAATTAGAAGTGACTTAGTATTCACAAGTTTAGCGAGTAATAATTTTTTTTTTGCAAATGATTTGGAAGAGTCCGACAGAAAAACTGCAAGAGTTTCCCTTGAAAAACTGAACTCGCCAAACATGTGAATACAAAACACTCCCAATTAAACTCCAAACTCTCCCAACATCTCCAAATAATCATCATAACAGAACAACACTTCTATACCTTCATACCTATAGAAACCCTCCATAGCAGTTTAATGATTATCAATTAAATGCATTCATTATATATATCAAGTCTTAATGAACTAATCATACCAACTATCTTAAAATAATTTATATTTAATCATTTAATAAATCTTATGCTTATCTCCAAATATATACACCAACATAATTGATAAATACATGCTTCAGTTATAATTCAAATGACATTCAAATGAAACAAAATTCTCTGAAAATGTAATAATTATACATAGCCATTAATTCTTAATTACAATAAAATCTCAATCTTACTACTTACCAAATTAGTCACTTCTGCTTTGTACGTTACTCTTCTAATCTTCAAGTAGCAACCCATATTCCTTCAAGCCTACGCGTGACAAATATCAATGCGCGGAGTAGTACAACTCAAGTCGGTGACTCATACACGTTACCAAATGTTTGCCCATGGCCAACTTATAAAACAACTTTCATAAATATGCATTTCCATCATAAAAGATCATTGAAATTCAACATACATTTCCATTTATAGCAAAAGAATATCAATACCACTATTAATTAATAAATACACTATTAATTAATAACATAAATAATTTAATTCTTTATACCATAAATCCTTTACTTAGACATTTAATCACCATAAATACTTTAGTTCGTCACTAACATAATTGATAAATACATGCTTCAGTTATAATTAAATGATAAAATCTCCGAAAATGTAATAATTATACATGCCATAATTTTTAATTACATAAATCTCAATCTACTACTACCAAATTAGTTACTTCTGCTTTGATACTACTCTTCTCCAAAAATATTTCTTACTTACTTCTACCCATAAAAACCATGCATACATACTCCAAAAATGTTAAATAAAATATAAAACATAAATAGTAATTTTTCC